ACGTTAGTTTTTTGATGCAGTGCTTTAAACAAATGCTGCTTTCTTGCATCTGGGCGATCGCAAGAGCTCAGTCTATTTTTAAGGTAGCTCAATTTCAGCACGAGTCTAACAGACTTGACCAGTACTCTTCTGGCAACTAACTGAATTTCAAGAAACTTTGCAGAAAGCACCTAGATTGAGTTCATTGTGCTGAGGGAAAACCGAAGCTTTGAATTAGGAGAGACATTTCAAATCATAAGAAAGACATTTAAATCAAAATGTCTCGTTAGTTGTGTTGATGATTCAGCAGCCACACGGTGTTGTTTTACGTGCATTGGCAAGTCATTCTGTGCCGTTGATGATCTCAGGTGAAGAAGCCAATATCACCGAAGCGATGCTCGCTTCTGTTCAGCCGTTTCATCAGGTATTATTCTCTTTCATATCGTTTTTTTATTATCTGTTAACTTCTGTAAATTTATATGCAAAATACTTTTTGTTGAAGGAGAATTGCTTTTGTGAATATGAGAACTTTATAGTCTTTCTTCATTAGTGTGTGCCAGACGTCTTTATCGTTTCTGTGTATATTCAGTCAGAAACTAATTCCTCTGATTGGTCTATTGATAAATACTTAATTCGAGAGCAAATATGTAAGAAAAGTCTTGATTACCTTCAGTTGCAATAGTCGCTGTAGTGCTTGGAACTGAAATTCATATCGATCGATGAGTTGTAGTTACCACTTAACATTTTGGAATTCCTAAATGGGTTTTGGATTGCAAATTCAACGTTCGCAACAATCAGTTTCATAGCCAATACTGCTCAGTGACGTTCTGAAGTGATTTATAAATTGAAATCAGATCAATTTAAGGCAGTTCATTTGGCCGTAATGGATGCACTTATGTGTGCGCATATGCGATCAATTATCACTATCGAACGGGTTGTTTTCGCTGTGCAGTGAGTTGTTGAAGTGTATTATTTTAACGTCAATTCGATTCATCTCGGAGTAATTTCAATCGAGTGTCGCTCAAATCATCAGTTCATGAAAGAAGGGACGAAAAC